TCATGGAAGCTATTCGAGAGTCATGGACAGCATAGCATGCCATTTGACTTCAAAAACATCTGCCATGAATTCTTCCATTTCTATGAATATCAAATGAAGAGACAACAACACCTATCAGAATATTAGCAATGTAAATTGTAAAGTAGGAAATCAATAAAAGGAAAATATAACAGTAGAAGAAATGGGCTCAAATGCAGCTTAAGGTTGAAATATTGCCCTAAATCCTAATCCCAAATATACAGAACAACAGAGCTTCACTTCACGGTTAGGACCCTAAGGCCTAATCCACATAGAAATCGAAGATTACAGCCACAATTTAAAGCAAATTAATTCTCAGAAACAGATAATCAAGAAGAAATAGGCATTGGAAAATGGAAATAATATACCCACTCACCTTTCGTTTTTCTTTGTCTCCTCTTTGGCTATTTCCGTCCGTCTCTTCCCTTTTATTTACACAATAGTTGACTGGGCCAAATTTAGCCCAATTGCAAAAAAAAAAAGGAAACCAACAACCGGGTGAAGAAGACAAACCAGAGAGACCAGGCGGCAAAAGTCAGAACTCCCAAATCTGGCGGTCCAGCGGAGCCCAGCACGCGCGACCGCTCCCCTGACCGGGTGCTGGGTCCGACCCTGGGTACATAGCACAATGCATAAGGGTGTCCATAATGAACACATGGAGACCTCCTATTGGAGTGGTATCTGGGCCCGCAAGCACCTCCCCATTAGAAAGCCTCCATGTGTCCGTTATGGACACTATTATGGAACATGCTATGTACACGTAGCATTTTCCTTAATCCATTGTAAAAACTTGGTGACCGTTCCCAAATTATTCGGTCAACTGCTTCTGTAGCAGCTGATTGTTTGATCGTCGTGTGGTTCCATTCATGGGTTCGATCGGAGGAAAAGAATATTCCGGCGAAAAAATGTCAAGAATAGTTATATGTTTTTTATTTTCAATGAACAAAAACGTGGCTCCAATCAAGAAAAAACATCAAGTCACACGTGATTTGATTCAAAGTTTTCAATGGCAGATTACCCCTAAACAATATAATATTCAACAATGAAGAAGAAAAGAAGAAAATAACTACTAAAAAGTGAAAGCGACAGTTTGAGATACTGTTTATATTCAATAAAATTGATTTCAATCCACTCATAGTGAAAAGATACAAATTTTGAAATTTCAATGGCTCAGCTACCCCAGATTGCCATTCTTGGAGCTGGAATTTTTGTTAAAACTGAGTACATACCGAGGTTGGCTGAGATTTCTGATCTGTTCACATCAAGCACACGTGATTTGATTCAAAGTTTTCAATGGCAGATTACCCCTAAACAATATAATATTCAACAATGAAGAAGAAAAGAAGAAAATAACTACTAAAAAGTGAAAGCGACAGTTTGAGAAACTGTTTATATTCTATAAAATTGATTTCAATCCACTCATAGTGAAAAGATACAAATTTTGAAATTTCAATGGCTCAGCTACCCCAGATTGCCATTCTTGGAGCTGGAATTTTTGTTAAAACTGAGTACATACCGAGGTTAGCTGAGATTTCTGATCTGTTCATTCTCAGAGCCATATGGAGCCGTAGTGAGGTAAAACGCTATCGTTTGCTTCTTCACATTTTTCTATTAATTAGGGGTTTTATTCAACTTCATGCGTTCTATTGGGAATTATGCGTATGGCGTATAGTATTGACGGGAATTTATTGTGGGGCTTTTGTTATTATGCGAAATTGGTGATGGGGTGCATTGATTTACTTTTTGGATTTTATTTTGGGAATTTGACCATTGGTTTGAGGAGAATATAGGATTTAACTGGGGGATATGTGTATGCAGGAGTCGGCCAAAGGTGCTGTTGAGATTGCTAAGAAGTTTTTTCCAGAGGTGGAATGCAAGTGGGGTGAGGCAGGACTCGATGAAATTATTCAAGATGCTTCCATTATTGGCGTTCTTGTGGTTCTTGCTGCCAATATTCAGGCATCTCTCTCTGTCCTTGTGTGTGTGCGTGTGTAAAGAGAGAGAGTTGAAAATTATTTTCGGCTTCTTGAGGCTATCAAGCTAAACTCCTCTCAGAACTTTGCATCTTCCTTTTACATGGCTTTATGTGATTAGGATGCTTATTTGGGAAAAAGATTAGTATGCAGTGATCATTGCAATGCTTTAATATTGCTAAAAATCTAAAACAAGATATATTACCACTATATTATGCTTGCAAACATTTAATCTAATTCCGTTGCATTATATTACTAAGTATTAAATCATAGAGGCCGTCGTTGTGATCGTGAGTCGTAAAGAAAAAGGCCTGTAAATCTGCTGCCTTGGGATCAGCACTCATGAACTAGGCAGAAAAGAAAAATCTAATTCAATGATTCCCAGCCAACTAATGAGCCACTTGATTGGCTTGGTTAACTATTAAAGAAGAGTTGTAATGGAACACCGATTATTAACACTTGTTGGAAGGTATGGGGTGATAATGATATTGTTGAATTCAGGGATGGATCCAGCCTCTACTACAGCCCGTCCCTCCAGCCCATATCCTAAGTAAAAAAATTTTAGTTAAAAAAAAATTTTTTATGTGTAAATTTTTTTTTTTTTTTTGGCGTTTTAGCCTGTGTCCAATTTTTTTTTTCCTGGATCCGCCCCTAGTTGAATTGACATTCAATGATGGAAGTGTTGACAAATCTAATGTTCAGCATAGATTTTTTATTTGATGACCAAATATTTGTGAAAGACAACATTTGTTCTTTGATGAATCAGTCAAATCTGTTGGTAAGCTATGCACAAGTTATAATCTGGTTCTTTTGAATTTGAGACTGGGTTCGGTATGCAATCTTTTTGGTTAAACAGTTAGCAAACAGAATAGCAATGGCTATTAAGCAGGCTTTCAACAAATAAATTTTGCAAACTGTTGCGTATGACTAAATCCCCATAATATGGCATTGCAAAAGTTCGTACAAGGACATGATTGGTAGATAGAAAACAAAGTATTCAGTATATCAAAATAAATAACAATGATTAGAAACAATGATTAGACTGGAGGAGTGCGTATAGCCTGTTGGTTCACATTTTCTCCTTTTAGCCTCAACAAAACTGGAAGCATCGTTCTGGTGATTTATATAAGATCGGAAAAGCTTCAATTATAGAAATAAATTCAGGATAATGTTCACTTTAATAAATGTTATTCTCTACTATCTATAAACTATTGGAATTTACTGAATGTTTTCACCTTGAGCATATGGGACAATACAGACAAGTGTATTCTATTGAGACATCTGTCAGAAATTTGGAGAGAAATCTCATTTTTTTTCCTTCCACATAATTTCAAAAATTCATCCCTGTGACATAATGATACCCGAAGCTTTAGTTTTATAGCTTCTCTGTTCTGTTTCATGAGCTTCATTGCATTTTTCTATGCTAATTTTTGAACATGGAGATTTGACCGTGTAAATTACAGAGTTATATAAATTCAGAACAGGACAAATTTGTTGCCAAATTATATCCAAATGTACAACTCTTTCTATGAATGTGTATTGGTTGATCCCTATTTTGTTTTTCATTTTGGGCCTCTTTAGCCCAAACACTGTTCAAGACTACAATGGATCTGATTGTGATTGATATTTACTTTAAGAATGAAATTTCTCATTTAAAAGAAAATGATTTCTTGCAGGTGGATATGTCAGTGAGGCTGCTGAAGGGAGGAAAGCATGTCCTTCAAGGTAATTGAACATAGGGTCATATAAAGGGTAGTAGTATTATTCAGCATTTTAGAAATTATATAAAAATACGTCACATGAGTTCTTGATGTTTTTAGCATCTTTCATTAGATTAATTTTAATGGTCTTTTCTGACATAACCTTATGTTCTTTGAATACTTAATTCCTATTATTTTATAAATACTTTTTCTTACGTGAAAAACTAAAAGTATATATGTTTGCTCATGTAACATATGTTTCTTGGCTATTTCGGCTTCTGAAGAGAAACCAGCAGCAGCTTGTAAGTACTATAGCTAGAATTTCTATTTATGTGAATTCTTAAGTTTTTGTATATAAGAACTGAAAGTAATGGGTGATATATGCAGCACTTAGTGAGGTGGAAACTGCATTGTCATTCTATAGTTCTTTAAGCACCACCTTGCCTTTTAAGCCTATTTGGGCAGTTGCTGAGAATTATCGTTTTGAACCTGCTTTTGTGGAGGTACTAAATGCTTCTAGTATTGGGTTACTTGATTTATTCCTTTGGTGGATGGCTTGTTAAAGAGATAATTGTCAACTTCACAGGGCACAAAACTAATGGCCGAAATTGGAGATACAGTGAATTTTCAGATAATTGTTGAAGTACCGATGAATAGCTCAAGTCCTTACTTCTCAACTTCTTGGAGACACAACTTTACTGTGAGTATAATTAATAAATTCCATGAATCTGAACAATTTATGTTGATATTTACAAACCAAAAGGATCTGTTAGAAAACTGAAAATGTTGGCATATGTGGATATCAACTGCATGTTTTTATAGTTAGGTTGTCCAATACTGTTGACGTGTCTGAGTCAATGCCGTTGTGCAGTTTTACTCCTATAACTTGTATTCGTTGCTAGTAATATGCCCCTACAGTAAATTCTGAACTACTACATGATTTATTTGTATTGTTTCTTAAATTCTTTTCTTTCTCCAATTATATTGGCTGAACCAACAACTTTCATGGTAATATGCTGCAGCTTTTCCATTTTTTGTAGGGTGGTTTCATACTAGATATGGGAGTACATTTTATTGCAACACTGAGAATGGTAATTTGATCTGCTTCTCCTTTGCAGTAGAATAATATCTTCCGTTGTCTATTTTAAGATATAAATTAACTGTAGTTTTGGACTGTCATATAACATGCACCTGAGACGAGAATCTTGATGCAATTTGGTGAAGGATCATTCTTGGTTTGCTGAACAGTGCCAATCCTGAATAACTTGCTGTTTGGATATTTTAGGCTCTCTTTTAGTTTTAATTTTTACACAAAAATAGGATTTACATTTTAGACTAGCTGACAACTGACCCTAAATTGTCGATGATGCCTCTGTTCAGCTGCCATGTTCTGTAAATGTATTTCTTCTCTGTTATTTATTTCTTAACTCAAAGAAACATGGCGTCTTATAGTTCAAAGAAGAAGCGTCGTGTGACATTGATACCGGTTTATCTTGGTAGGTAGAGCAACTATTTAGTCTCTGTCACTGGTACATTTTGGGGGGACTCGAGCAATTCAAAGTTTCCCCATTTTCTGATTAATGGAAAATCACTTTAAGCCCTTGTCTGTGTCACGTCTATCCACAATTGATGCAAATATTTTTTCCCTGAATCATCCATTTATAGCTACTCCCAAGGTAGCGTCGGCACCATCTTAAAGAAACCAGAACTGCTGAAGAAATCCCTCTTTAATATACTAATAAATATGCATTTGTCCATTTATTGAGTTCCAATCGATGTGATTTTTTTCTCTTCTACGTGAATAGCTTACAGGATGTGAGGTAACTTCAGTGTCAGCCATGACTTCTCATGTAGATAAGAGTTTGCCTCCCCCTGATAGTATCTCCTCAACAATGTAAGTTTTTCAAATATGGTATTGATTTCTAAGCAGCTTTCTCTTAATGAAGTTGAATGTACAAATAATATTTTTTTTTACTTTCCTTCCCATCTAGTCAAATGGAGAATGGGTGTTCTGGAGTCTATGTAACTGTTGTATCAGCAAAATCACTCAAGGTATGAATATTTTAACCAACACCTCAACCCGCCCCCACTCCCACCTCCTTCCTCGGTAAATTTTCTACACTGGAATGTTTATAGTCAGACTATAAAGCAGAAGCTCTAATATTTGCTCCCTATAGTTGTTATGGCGAGTTGTAGGCTTAAAAGGAACGCTGCAATTTGAGGTGGAAAAGAGAGAAGGAAGTATCGGATACTTGGTAAACTGTAGTCATGTTCTATTCTTGTAGACATACCAGAAATTTAACATAAACAGTAGTGCTGATAAATCAACTGCTCACAGGTTACCCTTTTTACTTCCGATGGGCAAAGCAAGAGCTCATACTATCCTTCTAGTGGGGTGACCGAGGAGCTAAAAACTTTCATCTCTGATATTTCACATGCAACTATAGAGGTAGTATACGAATTGAGAGTTCCACAATTTTCTCGCTTTGTTCATCGTATAATTTACACATCTTTTTGTGATTTCCATTTGCAGAAAGATCATAGTCACCAACCAGAGCCTCGCATCACTTATCTTGAAGGTGCTCGAGATGTTGCTGTTTTAGAGGCAATGCTTGAATCTGGAGAGAGGAAAGGAGAACTAGTGCAAGTGAAAAAGTTTTAGTCAACGTTGCATTGCCTAAAAGATGAAAAAGATGGATCGGGACATGCAGAAAGGCTGAGTATGCGAAGTTTAAAACTAGAAAATATTATGAAGCTATAGTTATAGTCATCAAATAAAGTTCTTAATGGTCTGAAAATGAGGAATGACTCTTTCTTGTATTCAAGTGTGTGGCTTATTCTGTTCTAGTTTTCATGTAATGAAATGACCATTCACTAGCAAAGGAAGGTTTAAAAACGCTGCTGAAAAATAGCCCTATATTATGATTTTAATAATTTGTAGCATTTTGAATGCATGTGGAGAAGGTTATTATTTTGTTATATGTATTAAGCCAAGGATCTACTCAACTCTCTACTAGATTATGGAATACTCGAACTTTCAAAATAGATTGGAGAATGGGTGTTCAGGTGTTTTAGATCAAGTAGTATCATCAAGATCTCTCAAGGTACGTGGTACCTAGAGGATGTCTTTTAGCCCCCGTTTGATAGGAATTAAAATTAAGATTTTAGTTTAAGTCAAAATCAATAATTAATTTTAACTACAAGATCCATAATTTTTTAACCATTTTTATCATCTACTTTTATTAAAATCTATTCAAAATTTTAATTTTAATCTCCATCAAACAAGGGCTTAATATGTTCCACCCAGACTGTGTTTGGCTAAGTATAAAAAATTTACTTATAAGTACGTTTCAAAATAAATAATTCTCTTTATTGGTGACACTTTGGAGTGATTTTTTGTTATGCTAATGTAAAAGTTGCTCTTAAGAATGTGTAACCTTCTTTTCTCGAGCTTTCGTTTGGATACAAATTTATATATCCTTTCATAGTCAGATATTAAATTCAACCACAGGTTCATAATTATTACTCATTATTATTCAAACATTTAGTAGGGTTCACTACTATTCCTTTATAAATTTGTCTAACGGAGGCAAAAAGTAAGAAAAAGAAATGTTGGATCAATGTGTTTGGAAATAAAAAGTAACTTTTCCTTATATTTTTAAGCTTAGCCTAATATGCTCTAACCTTTCTTTGGGATAACAATATGACATAAGGAGGCCCGCAACATTACACGAGTTCAAAACGTTCCTATAGGTACTCTGGGGAGTTGTGGGCTTAAAAGGAACAATATAGGTAGAACGAGGAAACAAAGAAGGGGAGCATGGTTACCCTGTAATTGTATATGCTGAATAAAAAATGTGGCGGTAGGTTACTCCTTTTACTACTGGTGGGCAAAACAACAGCTTGTGATCCTGTTCGTCAAAAATTCCTAGTCTTGATTTCGGTTTTTCGAGATGTATCAGAACTGCCTTTCTTGAGGGGATGTAGAGTCCTCGCGCTCCCCGTGACTTTTGACTAACCTGTCGTTCTACCCATTTTCTGGTGTGACTAAAGAGCTCAAATTTTTTTTATCACATATTTCAATGGCAACCCTTAAGGAAGGGAACGATGTAAAAAATCCACAAACATTTCAATTATTAACACGCCGTTTTATTTGAAATTCTACTTCTCGAAAGATAGGTTTTATTTGAAATTCTACTTCTCTAAAGTTAATTAGCATGCATGTTCAGTTGGTTATTCACCTCTGTATTTATCCTTTACTCAGAAGTTTCACCGTGCAATTATAACATTATTTGAACAAATAAGTTGTATAAATCTTTTTTCTCTTTTTTTTTTAATATATTTGTCCGACTTAAAAATAATAATAAAATAGTCAATCCTGAATCCGTGGACTACACAACTCTCAATCCACAAGGATCACGTGACTATATAAACCGAGTTTTGGATATCCACTATGGCACTATCATTGTGAATTGACTCTAAAACTAAGCACCTGTTTGAGCCTAATTTTTTGCTCAAAATGCATTTTAAAATAGTATTTTATTAGAGAATAAGTAGTTAAAAAATAAGGAATTTTTTTTGAATTTGTGTGTAATATTATTTTATTTAAGAATATGTAGTTGAAAAAAAAAAAGAGAAAAATGTATTTTGAAAAAAAAAAGTAGAAATCTAACAAGGGCTAAAACTAAAAAGTAAATTGCTATTTGAACAATATGTTGTATAAATCTCTCTCTCTCTCAAACTAAGCACTCGTTTGAGTCCAATTTATGTTTGCCCAAAATGCATTTTGAAATAGTATTTTATTGGAGAATGAGTGGTTAAAAAATAAGAAATTTTTTTGAATTTGCGTGTAATATTATTTTATTGAAGAATGTATGGTTGAAAAGAAGAGGGAGAAAAATGTATTTTGAAAAAAGTGAGGGATCAAAAAATTGCTGAAACTAGAAGGTAAATTTGCTATTTGAACAATATGTTGTATAAATCTNTTAAAAAAAAAAAAAAAAAATAGTCCGATCCTGAATCAATGGACTACACGGCTCTCAATCCCTTCGAGTCCCTATTTCGCGATTACAAAGAAAATATTGTGCAATAATAAAATGTTATGCAAAAGAATTTTATTAACAAAATTTCTAGAGTGAGCAATTGGATCGAGACATGCCACATTAATGTGTGGTTCTCATGCCATGATCCAAACACCCAACATTGATGAAAAAATTCAGGTTATGTATGATTTATTAGATGAATTCTAATTTCTAGGCCAATGTAGATTGATAATGAAAGAACTATAAAGTCTATACAAATTTGACAATTACTTTATTCTGCATAAACTGGCATTTTGCATCAAATAATAAATTATTATTTCCTCTCAAAATTTAAATTTAATAATTATATACATAATCGATAATTTGTTTATGTGCAACTAAATAATTTGTTTCTAGTATTTATCTACTATTTTTATTTTTACTACCTAGTCATTCAACGTTTTATATTAATAACAAATAATAATTTTTATTCACACAAAATTATTCAATTAAATGATTTCTACTAAGTTATATTCTTTGATATATTTTTCATTAACATTTTTGAATAATTAAGTTACTTAGTATTACTATTAAATTTAATTAATCTAATAAATTAGAAAAAAAATACATAATATTTGATATAATTATGTAAATTGATTTATTTTAAAATTTTATTATATAAATAAACATTAATATTGCTCAATTAGGGATTCAAATGATTGTATTAGCAAGTTACTTATTTCGACAATAGTCTTCCATTTACGGGCAAAGTAAATACTTATGTAAGAAATATTTAGACTTATAAGCAGAAGCATACATGTATTCTTTCAAATTTACTTTATAAGTTATGCAAAACTTTTCATGATAGGATAATAGTCCTTTACTTATTTGATGAAGAACTACACAAACAGGAAAATAAATAAAGATAGTGGACTCTGGGAAAAGCCTAGAAATAGGGTTACAGTGCAACCCACTTTCAACTATTTAGTAGTCTACTTGTGTTGTTGGCATATTGTAGCAAGTAATTGGCATCTAAGAAAATTGAAAAAAAAAGTATCGAATGTGATTCATATGTTGTATTCGAGGTTTCGAGAATGTCGGTTGTTATATTAGGGTAATTTTCTATATGTGCACCACATTTTAATTAAAAGAAATGTTTTCAATATTTACTCACTTTTGCTTTCATGTCTTCCAACTTTTTTCTCGTTCTAGCATCTTTCTTAACTTTTAATCAATTAACATATTTTGTTTTTAATCAAGATTTTCATCCAAATATTGTACTTACGTGCATTGAAAAGATGGACAAATATTTTCTTTAATTTTTATATTAGTTATTTATTTTTGTTATTTAAAAATACGAGAGAAAATTATATATATTCTCCCTAAAACTAATACCAAATAGGACATAATTTTCCCTAATATAATTTTAAATTAGGACATATATAATTACTGACAAAAAATGGAAAGTCAGAACTTTAGGACTTCTATTTGGTACAACAGTCTCTAGAAAACGACTTGGTCCGAGTGGGAAACAACATATCTTAAATGATGTCAAGTCGAGACAATTGATAAGTGGAAAATGCGACTTGCGTTGCGTAAGACACAACGTGTAAGAGAAATATGATCGCTTTTTTATAAAAACTCGACGTCATTTTAATAGTTTCAATTTTGAAGCAAAAATATTCATATTTTGAACGAAATAATTTTAAACAGAAAGCCTTTAAATAATAAAAGGTGGTGCATGCTCCAAAATGATATGCGTTTCCTCGGCCATCCATGGCAACCGTCCTTCTACTTTGCTAAATTACATTTGTTAACATTACTTGCATTCCTGTATACTAATAAAACAGCATAAAATATAAAATCTCTTTGTTGAACTCCATATACTTATAATTAGTGCAAATTTAGTATACAATTAAACAATATTATGCCCATGAAAGCCTTATTTTTTAGAACAAATTTTGTAAAAAGTTGTATTCTTCTATCTACTAACTACTATATTTCTCAAAATCAGTTGCCAGTTGTATTCTTCTATAATAAGTTTTTTTAAAGTTAATGAAACACCTAAAATAATTTTTGATTGTTCGTAACAGAACACTGATCATAAATCATCCAGCTAGAGAGCTTGGCTGTCATAGTTCACGTTTGAAGACTGAGTTTAGATATTTCAATTTAACTACTTTTCCCGCCTTTTCCATATTTTAGCTTGTATTTATTATGTTGGAATCTTTACTTCTTTGGTTGAGTTGGTTAATAAGATTGAGCCCCTGTTTGGGCCACATTATTTTTTTCATTTTCATTCTTCTACTCATTTTCAACCACACATTATTCAATAAAATAATATTTTCCATCACATCAATAACTTTTCCTTCTTTTTCAACCACATATTCTCCATCACATCACTTCAAAAAAATGCATTCTTTCATTTTAATGTGTACCAAACGAGCTCTGAGCTATTTTTCCTGCTCCATATTCTCTTCTTCCTTTGGTTATTTAGAAATTATCATCCTTTCTTCATTCATCATTCAATATGGTATCAGAGCTTTATGCTTCTATTGTCTGCGTTTTTGAACTCAATTAATTGCACAATTTGTAATGGAGTCAACAGCAACAAATAACCCATCATCTATGAACAATTCCG